AGTACAGAGGCACCTGCTCCGCCCGGCTGAGCAGCATCTGCAGGTTCACAGGCCTGGGCAGGCGTGCAGGGAGGTCCAGGCACTCAACCAGCTTGTCGAAGCCAGGGGAGGATGGCGGGAAGGCTGAGAGCACGCGAGCGAAGTTGGCGATGAGAGCAGCCATGCACACAGACTGTATGAATTCTGCAGAGCAGGTGCAGCACTGGGTGCATGCCCGAGGGTGCATGATATACCCGGCAAACCCCACCAGGAAGTCCACATCTGCCAGGCAGCGAACGATGGGAAGCTTCCTCCTGGCGGGCGGTAGTATTACTCTCTGCTCATCATTTCGAGATGCTTCACCTCTCCCACGTGCTCTGCTCTGTTCGGCTTCCACACCAGCTCCTTGGCGTACTGCCTTACACCCTTTCCCTCTTGCACGCCTGCACCTCCCTCCTGCTTCAGGTATGTGCTGACGAGGGTCCTGGGTCAGCTTCTCACCTGCTTCACCACGCTCCTCCACAATCCCAAGCCCAACACACCTCTCCTTTCGGTTGACAGGAAACTTCACAGCAGCTTCGCCGCCCCCAGGCCACTCCTCCCACTCTAAAGGAACGCCGCTTCCCTCCAGAGGCTTGGGGATGGCGCCGAACCTGACCAGCAGGCTCGGAAGGTCCCGAAGCGGGTGGCGCATGGGCCGGACGTTGCTCTGAGGGCAGTCCTTGAAGCACCGTTTCTCCGAGATGGAATCTGAGCCGTAGACTCGGACCCACTGCAAGATGCAACCGACCCGATAGGTGAGTGCAGCAACAACAGGGCCTCGATTGACAGGCACAAGTACAGCATCCATATCAGCGCTTGCAGCAGCAACAGCAGCAGCAGGCGGGGTTCTTCCTACATCTGCTGCTGCCACTCCATTCATCCCCCTTGTCTGCTTCAAGCCATGCTGCAGAAGCCTCTTCCTAGCCACCTGAATAGCTGCACCCTCTACCTGCACCTTGCTCACATTGTTCCCATCAAGGAAGTACAGCTTTCCATCCTTCCAGTGCTCTGGTTTCGATAAAACTAGGGTGACAGCAAGGGCGAAATCAGTCGCATTGACACCACTCACACGCATACCCCTCGGAGCACTGCTGCTCTCACTGCTGCTGCCAGAAATGCTGACGCTGCTGCTGCTACTTCTTCTGCCATTGTCACTGCCGCCACTGCCGCCACTGCCACCACTGCTGCTGCTGCTGCTGCTGCTGCTGCTGCCCCCCTCACTGCAGTGGCTGCACCTTAACTCCCTCCCTTCCCCCCCTCCATGCTCCAGAATCCAAGCTATGCCATCCACATACCTCTCCCACACACGCCCCTTCAGATGCTCCCTCCAGCTCAAGTCCGAACTAACCCTCCCGCACTTGCCAGCAACCCTATCAATCTCTACCTTGCTCCCTGCCTCTTCCTCTCCGTGTCTCCCATCATCCTTCCCATATGACGCCTTCCCCTCCCCATGCGTCTTCTCAGAAGCCTTCCCCTCAGCTCCCCCCTTCCGCTTCCCCTCCTTATCCACCTTCTCAGCTGTCTTTCCCCCAGCTCCCCCCCTCCTCTCTGCATGCGCCTCCTCCAGCCCGCCTGACAGCAGTTGCTGCACAAAGAACCCAAACCCCTCCTGCAGATCAGCACTCTCCTTCACCCCCAGCACCTGCACCAGCATGGACGCAAAGTTGTCACTCTCCCTCTGCCTGCTCGCCCCCAGCTCAGTGGCGATTGCTGGCCAGGCCGACGAACGCAAGACGAAGTGTGCTTGCCATAAAGTCACAAGGCGGGGGGATCTTGCTACAAGCACAAGGAACGTTGAGAAGCTGACAGCACGGCGGTAGGCAGCCCAGCAGCTGCTGCAGCGCCAGCAGCAGGACAACACTGTAGAAGCCAAAGGAGCAGGAGGAGCACCAGGAACAGCACGGGCAGCAGCAGGGGCAGCAACAGGGGCAACAACAGGGGCAGCAGGAGCAGGAGACGAGACATCAGCAGCTAGAGCAACTGTTGTAGTATCCAAAATAGCAGGCAGGCGAGATCTGATTCTCTCCAGGTCCATGAGCACACCCACACGAGGCTCAGCCATCCACTCGAGAAACATCCCTTCTGCGCAAAGGCGAGGCGCCATCTCTGCCTTCCACGCAAACTGCTCCTGAGAAAACATTTCATGATGCTGCTGCTGCGTGGGATCTGCTGCGGGGATGCAACGAGGCTGCAGATTGCGCAGGTGGAAACGCAAGTCCTCCAGGTTCTTCATGGCAAGTGCTCGCTGTGCTCGCGGACTCACTGCACGGTCAAAGCAGCACCCGCACAGATCCTCGTCCCACCCATTCATCACATCCAAGTAGTGAACCATGTCCGCACGGCACAGCTGCTGAAGCGGCTTCGGACTTTCCTCGGCTCTTGCTTTCTCTGCTGCCCCTCCGTTTGCCTGATCGGGCTGATCCGGTTCACCCTGGTCGATCTGGACTCCAGAGCAGGGTCCCCTCTGCCGCATCATAAGAGCCTTCACCCGCTCTTCCAACTTCTGCATTGTCAGCGACAGGCTTGCGTCTGTCACAGCATATTCCTCTTCCTCGTCCTCTTCCTCTTCCTCATCCCCTTCCTCTTCCACTTGCTCAACCGCTTGCTCTGCTGCGCCTCCGTTTGCCCGAGTGGACTGACCTAGTCGACCTAGCTGAAGTGTCTCCAGCCACGTATTCGTCGCATTCAGCTGCTCTTCCAACTTCAGAAGCTCTAACACGGCGTCTTCCTCTCCCTCTTCCTTTTCCTTGCTACTGCCAGCACCAGAAGCACCGGCCAGCAGCTCTGCTCCGCCAATTCCTGTCGCGGCTCCTCTCATCGGCTTGTGCCTCTTGTCTTCCTTGGTGCGAGGCATGATCGACGCCAGTCAGGTGAAATAACCAACAAACGTAGCAGCAGGATTAGACGTAGTGTGAGAGAACGAAGGACGACGCACATCAGTAGCAGATCCAACACCAGGAGCTTCCCCGAACTGCTCAGCTTTCATCTCGCCCTTATCCATGCACTGTTCTCCAAGGAAGACACGTTGATGGTTGTACCTGCACTGAGATTGGGCTTGCTCAACGGTCAAATCAGGAAAGGGCAAACTTTGCTGCCCAAGAGCAACGAAATGAACCTGCTGCTTCAAATTCGCGAACTCTTGCTCTGCCGCCTTATCATGACCTAAATGTGCTGGCGTGTCTCGCGTGGCAGGCAGAAGTATGCAAGAGGGACTGAAACAGTCGGTTGAGAGTCGAAAACAGAAGCTCGTCAGTCTGTAGAGAGGCGTCTACGTGTGCTAAATTCCGAAGCTAATGGTACCGAATGGAGAGGTTTCATTCGTGACGCATTCTGCCGACTCGCCACTGCTATTTGTACGGCCGCAACGATCCACGGTTCGTCAGACTAGATGGGATCTGAACTCTCGAAAGCCATGACGGGTGCTGCAGGATTCAAATCAAATTGGAAGTTTCCAGTCTAGGCACAACTTCTACTAGAAATCTGTCGGTTTCACTGGAACTGAAAGGCCAGTAACAGAGCTCTCTCGGTCGCTGACTGAAGTCGAACGAGTCTATGTGATCGCCGTGTAAGCTGAAGCTGTGAGATCAATGAAATGTTGTCATCAAGCAACGCTTTCCCACCCATGCGACGCTTTTCAATTCATGCGACGCTGTGCTACGCGTTCCGCCAATGCCCGAGGCAAGCGAGGCTCCTTCAATTGTGACCATATCAAGGGAAGAATCAAAACCATCCAATCACGTTTAGTCTCGTGGGGTGTATAAGTGCTTGAGAATCCATTCTTCGCATAAGCTGCAGCCATCCCAGGGCTCTGAACACGTTGGATGTTGCCATGGAACGAGGCAAACCAATGAAAAATGTGACTGGAAAAGCGAATCGGACCGTCTGTTTCCGCACAAAACTAGTCGGGTTTGAGATAATACTCGACGTGGTGCCTGCTGATGTAACCTAGATCATCTCCTGCAGACCTAGATTGTTGTTCCGAGGCTAGCTTTGATGTTGCCATGGCGGAAACACAATTCTCTGACGAGTGAGATCTGTCCCCAGAATCCTGAACTGCAGAGTTTTGGCGAAGGTGTTGGGAAAGAAATTGCGTGGGGCGAAAGCGAAACGAAGTGGCGAGGAACTACAGCGGCCACAACACAAAAATCCTAATCCTCGTTTGTGAGTCCAACTGAACATCGTTTGACAGCTGACGGTACGAATATGAAAAAAAAAACAATCAGCCTCCATATAAATCTCGGAAATATAACCACGGTGAGAAACGTTCAAGCGAAACACTTTCAAACATAGTAAATAAATAACTGCCAACTAGTGGGATTTGGATAGCCGATCATGGAGCACTATTAAATCCATTGCCGTTTCAAATCAAATGCTATAAACCAATATGGTACCAAAAACTTTGGCTCAGCATCTAATCTAATCATCATTTTATTACAAAATGAGCCATTCAGTCAAGGTCCGTCGAGAACCATCTGCATAGTGAAAGCGAAACAGCAGGAAGAATCGAGAAGGGAGGACAGAATGGTCGAGTGAGGAGAAGGGATATGGAGGGCACGTGGAAGGGATGAAATAATGGGTAGGATTGTGGGTGGTGCGCGGTGGGGATGCAAAGGATACAGGATAGGAAGGACATCGGATTGTTGGGCGAAGGCAATTACAAGAGAATGGAAAAGGGAGGACACTGGCAGATAGCGAAGGAAGGAAAGAGGAAAAGGGGTGGAGGAGAAGGGGGGAAGGAGTGAGCAAGAGAGGGAAGGAGGGAGAGTAAGCAGATTGTGAGTGCAGGAAGGCAGGAGTGTGTCCCTCACCCTCTGTCTCTCCTTCTCTAGCTCTCTTCCTCGGTCCCTTCCCTTCCCCCCTCGGTCTTTTCCCCACTGTGTCTCCCCGTCTGTCTCCCACCCTAAACCCTCCCCTTCTTTCCCTCCCTCTGTGTCCCCCCCCCTCTCTGACCCTCCATCTCTATCCCTCCCTCTCTGTCCCTACATCTCTGTCCCTCCCTCTCTGTCCCTCCCTCTCTGTCCCTTCCCCTTGGGGAGAATGAGGGAGATGGCGGGTTGGAACGAGAGAGTATGAGTAGGGAAGGGGAACGGAAGGTGCGGGGGGGGGAGGGGGGGGTGGTGGGGGGGTGGGGGGGGTGGGGTGGAGGGGGGAACGTTGAGAGTAAAAGGTTTCGAAAGTCGATTGGAGTGTGGTGCCACACTTCTGCCACCATCAACCATCCACACTGGAGGGGAAGGGGGGAGCTGAAGGGGGGAGGAGTGGGGACGGGTGGTTGGAGTATGAGGTGGGTGAAGAGGGAGAGAGAGCGGGATTGCGGGGAGCAGGTAATGTGGGAGGTGCGAGAGGTGCTGCCTGAAGGTGCCATGGCTATGGTGCTGCTGCTTCAGTGGGATGGTGGAGGTGTAGATGGGAGGGTGATGACGGGCAGAGGACCTGGGATGGGAAGGCACAAGGTGAATGGCAAGAAGGGGAGACAGATGAAGATGGTGTGATGGGGTGGACAGCTGAGCACGGCACAATGGAGTTGTGCGAATGAGATGCTGACAGGTGGAAGGCATGCGGGGAGGATGGGGAGGATGAGCGCGGCACTGAGGGAGCTGAATCTGGTGAGTGGAGGAGTTGGAGATGAGAAGGGAGAGATGAGGGAGAAAAAGGGGATGACAGGAAGGGAGTGGTAGGAAGGATACGAGATGAGAAGGTCAGAAAAGAGAAGAATATAGGAGGGGAGGGGAAGGGGACGGAGGGGAAGGGGACGGAGGGGAAGGGGATGGAGGGGAAGAAAGGGAGGAAGGGGGAGCGGAAGGGGGAAGAAGAAAAAGGTCGGGGGTGGGGGGTTGAAAGGATTTGTACGAAAGCAGGAGGGTGGTCAGCTCCTTGTGCCGCCTTACCCTCTTTGAGCGCTGTCAACCCATTTCTAACCGGGCTCGGTATGGATCGGGCCAAACGAAAAGGCTGAGTTGAGCAGGATGGCCTAGGTCAATCCGCATGCGATCTGCAGGTCTGACCCTAACTTGGCGACGAACTAAACCAGATATGCAAGTTTGACACCCTAACCTGGGACGAACTGAGCTGAATATGCAGGGTTGACACCCTAAATGGGCTGCTGGATTAAGGAAGGAGAGGAGAGTTGAAATAAGGGGGGAGTAGAGGGTACGGGGAGAGGGGGGATAGAAAGCAGTTAGCAAGAATAAAAGGAGCTGGATTGCAACAAATTCTTGCGAAGTCGCGCAAAAGTCAATCTCTTCTGTGGAGACACCCCGGTCCCCCCAACCCTTCCCACTTCCAGCTCGCCCTAGCAGCCCTAAATCCCTTGCAAACGTAAAGTCACCACGACTTCCTCCACCCTCTCCCACTCCACGTCGCCCCCCTGCACATCCCACACCCTTCTCGATGCCCTCTGGTGCAACCCCAATCCCCCAACCATGCCAAATGCGGCGAGCACATACTTGAAACGTGAGTTTTACTCAACTTGACTTGGTCGAGTTGTTTTCCAAAAGAAAAAACAAACTTGTTTGTAACTTGACTCGCATGCCCATGTATAACGCGGTTGGTGTGGGGAAGGCAGTGGGGGGAATGGGGGGGGAGAGGGCGCGGGAGTAAGGGACATCGGGTAGTGGCAGAGAGATGAAGGTATCACACCCAGGAAAGCAGTGCTTAATTTCATTCTATGAGGATTTCTTTGTGGTGCTTAAAGCGATTAAGCTTCCTAAAAGCCCCCATGCCGGCCAGCCCCATTCCGCCCTGCCGCAGCTGCCCCATCGTTTGAGAACCACGCTGCCCTGTCTCTGCAGCACACGCCGCTGCCGCTGCTGTCAAGGCTGCGCTGCCCCATCACCTCGCTGATGCTGTGACTGCAATCCACGCTGCTCCCCACCATGCCACCGCCGCCGCCGCTGTGGGCACTGGCGGGGCGGTTCTGCCATACTACAAGCGCCGGGGGAAGCCCAGGGAGGAGGAGGCGGGTGCGGGCATAATCGTGCCCGTGAGGATGGCATCTGTGAGTGCTGCGTCAGCTGCCAGCAGCTGAGCCGTGCGCGCACCACCTCCATGCTCTTGCACCTCCCAAATCAACTGCCTCTGCTACCCGTGCTGCCTGTTCTTGTTGCTGGCCGCCGCACTCCCTCCATGCTCGGGTGCCCCTGTCTCCCTGCCCCATCAACCCTCCTCCCACCTGTCGCGCCACTGTTGTGCCTGCGTGCATGTTCGTAGTGATCAAACTCCCGCTCATGCGCCCCCCCTATGTTCCGACCCAAGCACTCCCCCCCTCTCCGTGCTCCTGCCTGGTGAGACGAATGTGAGAAACAGAGGAGACAGTGGTGCTGAGGAGCCTACAAACACGGGGTTATGGATGGCATGGCGTGGGAGGCAGTCACAGCAGTGGCTCATGCGCAAAATATACCCAAAGGAGTGGGAAAAGGCGGCTCCTGAAGCACTGTGCTGGACACACCCATGCCACCATTTGCGCCACCACTGCCGCCCGCATGCGCGTTCCCCCCTGCTGCTGTTGAATCCCCCTTCCTTCCTCCCTTTCTTGCCCGCCCCCGCTTGCTACCCCCTCCCACACTTGCTGTGTCTCACTCCTCCCTCTGCTTGCCCCGCCTTCGCCCTGCCGCTGCGCCCACCGCCCGTTTGCCCCTGGCGCTTGCGACACCAAGGCGAAGTGGTCCCAAGAAGCAGCACACGGCAGGCGCGGATGAAGGGCAAGGAAGGGGGAGGAGATGGGCTGTCGCATGCAATTTTTCCCTAATGCAAGCAAAAGAGTGACCCCGGTTCAAGTGAGTGAACTCAGTGCGACGGACCCCAGTACGACATACTTCAGTGCGACAGACCCCAGTACGACATACTTCAGTGCGACAGACCCCAGTACGACATACTCCAGTGCGACAAACGGCAGTGCGACATACTTCAGTGCGACATAATTCAGTGCGACGGACGTCACGGATCCTGCGTGCTGCCTTGTGTGGAGCGACAGTGGCATCGCCATGCCGAAGTTCTTCCAATGAGCACCGCAGAATCAAGACGGAAAGGGTGATCACTAGGCAATTGATATGTGATTGGAGTAATCGCTGTGCTTTAAAGCGACGTCGCACTGTGAAGTGCAAAACAATATTGATACAAAAATCTTTCAAAGCTTGAATGTTAAATACAGTGCCCTCAACGAACGCATTACCGCAAATTGGCTCGTGCTCAGCAGGATTCGAACCTGCGCGGGCAGAGCCCAACAGATTTCTAGTCTGTCCCGATAACCACTCCGGCATGAGCACATGTTTCTATGAAAACAGAAGCAAAATCCACAGCGCCCACACTACCCTCCTAACCAGCAGCCCTGCCTAACCTCGCCTCATCTGCTCGTCCTTCAAGACAAAAGCGACTTGCTGGTGAACCATCCTTAGACTACGTTCCTCCCACCACCTACCTCCTTCTCCCACTGCTCGACCCTGAGAAAGGACATGACCACGAGGCAAACAGCAGCCCCACCTAGCCTTGCCTCACCCGTAATCTGTTCGTGACCCACTATTGACTCACAAGTATCAAACAGCCCAGCCCACTAACCCTCACGCACTCGAAACGCACCTCCTCCTTCCTCTGCTCGTCACTCCTCAAACACCGCCACCGGGCACCCAGCAGCCCCGCCTAGCCTTGGCTCACCCATAATATGCTCGCGACCCACATTGACTCACAAGTATCAAACAGCCCAGCTTGCTCGCACCCCCTCACTCACTCCGAATGTACCTCCTCCTTCCTCTGCTCGTCACTCCTCAAACACCGCCACGAGGCACCCAGCAGCCCGGCCTCGCCCAGCTTCGCCTGCAGCCTCTCGCGCACCTCCGCCACGTCAGCAGCCTCTACCGTGCTGCTGTGGGGGCGAACAGTGCGGCCACGGCATAGGGACGGGAGTCCATGGCGCAAAAGTAGGTGTGGGATAAGCAGGTGCGGATTCAGTGCTGGGGGGTGGGTGGGCGGGAGGTGTGGGGGTAGAGAAGGGGAGAGGAAAGGACGAAAAGGGCAAACAGCACAGATGGGAAGACAATGACATTGAGAGAGAGAAGGGTTGGTATTATGACATGTGGATGGGGAGAAGGGTTGGTATTATGACATGTGGATGGGGAAAAGGGTTGGTAGTATGACATGTGGATGGGGAGAAGGGTTGGTATTATGACATGTGGATGGGGAAAAGGATTACGAGAGAGATGTGGACGGCAATGTCGTAGGAGCATCGAAGTTTTCATCCACCAGATGTGGATGTGGGACACAAGTCGGTCTGGGAGAGGCAGGTGCAGAGGTGGGGGGGGACGGGTGCAGGGGAAGTGAAGAGGGCTACGGCGGTGAAGGGAAGGTGCGTTACATCCCTGGCAAGAAGTGCACTCAGCAGCCCTCAAGTTCCTCATGAGAAATGACTTTTCGACTCAAAAGTCAAGTGCACTCAGCAGTCCTCAAGTTGATTATGAGAAATGAGTTCATTCTTCAGAAATCCGTGCGGAGCTAGGGGGGGGAAGAGATGTGGGAGACAGTGCGGTAGGGGTGTGAGTCGGTGAGTCCATGTAAGGAAAGAAGGCGGGGCGCTGAGGGGTACGATAGAGAAAGAGGGATAGAGGTCAAGGGAAGGGTTTTTGAGACGTCTTAGTAGGGGCGTTAGTCGGTGAGTCCATGTAAGGAAAGAAGGCGGGGCGCTGAGGGGTACGATAGAGAAAGAGGGATAGAGGTCAAGGGAAGGGTTTTTGAGACGTCTTAGTAGGGGCGTTAGTCGGTGAGTCCATGTAAGGAAAGAAGGCGGGGCGCTGAGGGGTACGATAGAGAAAGAGGGATAGAGGTCAAGGGAAGGGTGAGTAATGCACATGTGTGGTAATGGCATATGTCAAAGGTCACAAGTCGGTGTGGGATGCTCAAACGCAAGGCTGAATGGATGGGAAAAGGGATGGGAGGATGCGAATGGGGGCTGGTTAGGAAGAGGGTATCGGGATTTGGGAGGGGACGGGAGGCAAAAGGAGCGGGGGTGGGGGAAATGAATGGACGGCAATTGCAACCTGGTCTTTCCATCAGCTTCCTCCAGTAACTCTCACAGCCTTTCAGTAGCAAATCTTAGAAACAACTAGTCAACGTCCCCCCTCCCACCATCGACGGCGAGTGACTCGAGTCGAAATTGACTCGTGAGTGAGTCGAGATTGAGTCGAGAGTGAGTCGAGAGTGAGTCGAGATTGACTCGTCAGTGATTCCTACACTACACGCCCCTCTCCTTCGCATCTCAAGTGACTTACTCGAGAGTGGGTCGAGAGTGACTCTCACCTTGCCAATATCCAGCTTGCCAACCGCCCCTGGCCACTCAACCCTTTCCACCCATGGACAACACCCCACACATCCTCTATAATCCCCGCCCCACGCATCGTCTATAATCTCTGCCCACCCGACGCATCCACTTTGACCTCCGCTTTTCGGTCGACTCAAAAGCACACCCCGCGCACCCGCTATGATCTCAGCCCACCCCAGCTGCATCCCCCACCATTCACCCCCCCCTTCATTGCCCCCTTCATCTGCCTGACTCTTTCCACTCGCAGTTGACCGCCTTGACCAGAGCTGACCGCCTTGACCACAGCTGACCGCCTTGACCAGAGCTGACCGCCTTGACCAGAGCTGACCGCCTTGACCAGAGCTGACCGCCTTGACCAGAGCTGACCGCCTTGACCAGAGCTGACCGCCTTGACCACAGCTGACCGCCTTGACCAGAGCTGACCGCCTTGACCAGAGCTGACCGCCTTGACCATAGCTGACCGCCTTGACCAGAGCTGACCGCCTTGACCACAGCTGACCGCCTTGACCAGAGCTGACCTGCTTCACCACAGCTGACTCGCTTCACCGCCACCACAGGTGCTGCTGCACACATGGCTCTGCCATGCTGCCTACTGTGTTTCGCACTAGAGACCTTCCAATCATGACAATGCAGCCATATCAACGCACTAAAGACCTTCCAACTAGGAGGGCCAATCATGACAATGCAGCCATATCAACGCACTAAAGACCTTCCAACTAGGAGGGCCAATCATGACAATGCAGCCATCCTGCTTTGACGGTGCCCCTGACTCGCCATGCCTCCAGGGCGAAGCGGCTGCTGCGAGCAGCGCGCGCGGAGGTAGGGGGGAGGTGCAGAGAGTACAGGGGGGCAAAAATATGAGCAGGAGAGGAGGGCGATAGGGGCATGGAGGGGAAGATTGGGTGATGTGGGAGGGAGGGAGACGTGGTGCCGGATGGTGCGATGGCTATGGTGAGATGGTGGGGGAGCAAGTGGGGAGGTGAAGGAGGGCAGAGGTGGAGGATGCGGGAGAGGGAGAGACAGTTGGCTCGTGCATGGGGTGATGTAGGAAGGGGCATAGCATGATGGGATGAAGGGCACGGCACGATTAGATGAATGGGGTGGCGGGGGGTGTTGGGCATGGTTGTGGGGAGGAACATATGGAATAAGGAAGGGAGGGCAGAGGGAGTCTAGGGAGATGCCAGGGAGGGAGCGGAAGAGAGGAATTGAAAGGAAAGGAAAGGAAAGGAAAGGAAAAGGAAGGGACATGGGGGGACGACGAAAGACGATTCTTAGGATCGTAAACACCTTAGTCGGCAATAGTCTACTTGCTATTGCTTATCGTGTTCTCCACGATCTCCCAAATCCAACGATATGCGTAGCTCTGCTTGAAGTTGTCAATACACACTTCAGCAATTTCAGAATCTCAATGTTGTCCAATGTTGTGTTTTCCAGAATGAGTACAAGCAGTTTTATAGTCAACCAAGGTACAAAATGCGATTCGTAACTTCACTTGTTTCCCAAGTAACCGCGTGCGCCTCGTTTCACCCCGAGTCGCACACGCAACCGAACCGAATTCACCGAATACTCCTTGAGCCCGAATCTGGAAATTTCTCGAACACGCCTTGGTCTCGAACCACATTTTCCCCCGTCGAACTCATTCTCGATTCTTCTCCACTCTTCTTCCTCCATTTCTCTAGTTTCTTCTTCGATCTCTCCCGCTTCTCACGTCGTAGCTTCCATTCGTCACCGTAGGCCGATTTCCACCGTCTTAGATCTAGAATCTCCCACGCGCTTCCATTTAGCCGTCGTAGAACCTTCCGCCGTAGGTTCCGTGGTTGGGCGAACCAATCCTAACAACGATGAGAGCAGAGGAATGTGGCTGGTAAGAAGGAATGTGAGGGGAACGGGAGCGCGGAGAACGGAGCAGGTGTTACGTTGGAAAAAGATTATCATGCAATGGCCAGCAGGAAGGAGGTTGCTCTCATTGAGAGTTGAACTCAAGACCTCCCGCTTACTAAACGGGTGCTCTAACCAACTGAGCTATGAGAGCTGTTGTACGACCTTTCTGTGAAGTCAAGTGGGGATACCAAGGCACACCGAGCTCAGTTTCAGCTGTTATAATCCCTGAGGAGTGTGCAAACCCCTCGAAGGAAGTATTAAGACAATTGTTGGGGCAATGGAAAGGGAGGAGGAAGGAGGGTTGAGAATTGGGTGGGAGAGAGGGATGTAAATGAAAGAAACTGGAGGGAAAAAGGGGTTGGCAGGAGGAGAGGGGTGTCGGGAGAGGAGGCACACATTTTCTACGGTCTCGCTCTTCTCTCCCATGCCTACCTGCCTGCTGCCTCTACCCACTCGCCACTGACTGCCTCTATCCTTCACCGCCTCGACTGCAGCTGCTGCTGCGAGCCATGGCTCTGCCATGTTGCTCGACCAACTGTTATATTCATCTATTGGCTGGCTCTTCACAAGTCGCAGGGTGCTGTTGGTGCGGGGATGGAACGGTCAGAGGGAAGGGAAGAAGGTGGGGGCTTGATTTTCAGAGAGGATGGCGGAGGTGGAAGACAGCCAGGGATGGCATTCAGGCATTGCGGGACAACAAACTAGCAGTGCAGCGATGAGAGGCAATGCTAGAATGAGACGTGGGGAAGCAGTGACACAGCCATGGCTCGCTATTCTGGTGGGGAAGCACTATTTTGTGGCGAAGTTCATTCTGCCTAGTCAGCAAAATAGTGCAAAACCACAATACTGGGCGCGAGTAGGCGAAAGCACGAATTGAGACAACTGTGATCAGTAACAATATGGATGGAAGGTGAGGAATGGGGTGGGAGAGTGATTCAGATTTCTCTGCCTACTCTGCTTCTCTCACCACCGCATTGGTCAGCTGAAAAGCAATCCACAATCTCATATCCATGCTTCGACTGCCTCAAAACAGCCCTCCCTCGCATGGGTCAGCCTCCCATGGGTCAGCCTCCCATGGGTCAGCCTCGCATGGGTCAGCCTCGCATAGGTCAGCCTTGCATTGGCTCTCGCGCTGCCGTTGCTCCATTATCGCGATCTAATGAAACTCACAAAACGAACTTTCCACAATACATGAACACCACAACGTGCTGATTCTTGCCCTCGCACGCCCGCAATGCCTCCGCCTCTCTTGGGCATCCTCTGCTATCACACACGCCAGCACCTGCCACCACCACCTTTCCTTCTTTTTCACCTCCCTCTGACTTACCTCCTCGTCTCTCTTGCTCCTCCTCCCCTCCTCCACCTCCCACCGCTTCCCCCTCTCCTCTTGTCCCCCTTGCCGCTTCCTGCCCAAGTGCTTACTCCTCGCATCAACCCTCGTCTCCCTATTTAGCCCCCCCTTCTAGAAGCAACTTGCCAATTGCGGCTCTTTAAATCCGTATCTCTACTCTCCTGATCTCAGGTCAGGTGCTGTTAGGGTGGGAAGCGAAAGGAAGTGGGGGAGGGAAAGCGGGAGACGGGGGAGAGGGCTGAGAGGCTGTGAGCTGAGAGGCTGTGTGCTGAGAGGCTGTGAGCTGAGATGCCGTCAGCTGAGAGGCCGTCAGCTGAGAGGCCGTCAGCTGAGCGGCCGTCAGCTGAGCGGCCGTCAGCTGAGAGGCCGTCAGCTGGGAGCCACAAAAGGAGCTATGATGCGTGCATCCTCTCACGGAAAAAGCGGCGATAAGAGCCAGCGCTGGAAAATGGCACCCATGGGCAAGCTAGTATGCTCAGATTCACTCGGCTGCATAGCGCCAAAAACGCCATGCCGACTGCTAAAATCTGGCGCGGATAGGCGGCGATGGGCGCATTCCGACTGCTGCCACTGCTCGGTGCGTTCACCCGCGGCGAGTGCGGCGAGTGCTGAAATTCTTAATGCTGAAAAATGTCATTTTTCTTGAGTTGCGGGCGCACACGAAAACAACGGCACGCTGAGATTTGCTTCGCCATACGCTCTTCGCCGCCTTGTTCTAAGCCACACGACATGGCTACATCGCACTCAAACCCTTGTAGTTATGAGTAAGTCGATGCGGAGTTTCTTAAACAGAGATCGTAACACACGCGCGATTTAATAGTCTGTTTGCTCTAAGTGCGATCAATTAGGTTGCTCTACGGAATATGCGACACGGAAAAGATGGTTGGAAGGAATGTGAAAGTGCTGAGGTCCCGTCTAGAAACCGAATTGGCGAACTTTGCTAAGTGCTGGTTGTAAGGACAGTTTTGAACAGCTCTTTTGTGTCCTGAATGCTGACGAGTAGAAAGTGAAACTCGGAAAATATATATTGTTTTGTTCAATGTAACACCGTGTTACCAAATAAACTTCAAACCCAGCGTGGAATGAACACGTCTTTCCTTGTCAAATACTTACAACAACACAAGCAACAATCATATGACTCTCTATAAACGCAATGTCACGACTCAGCCTACAGCGAGAGCCCTGAGTCACAAGTTTGTGATGATCCAACGGTCGTGATCTCAAATCAGCGACCTGCAGCCAAGTTTCTAAGAATAACTACATCGCGTACTGTGAAATTTCAATTACCTCGACCTCACACTTTTTGGAATGAAGGCATAGCGGCGGAGGCATGGGCGCAAAGGAGGAGGAGGGCGGACGATTTGTTCCGCCCGCTGAGCGAGAGGTGCGCGGGGGAAGCGTGTGAGCGAGAAAGATGGAGGGAGAGGGGCCGCGAAAAATGAGCGGAAGAAAGCGAACGGGAGCAGCAGCGGGGACCAGAGCGAGCAGCCGAGCGGCGCGCGTGAGAGGTGCGGCCGGCGCGCGGGGCAAGAGCGCGAGCGCCGCTGCTGTGCTGAGTGTGCCAGCGAATGAGAAGCTTGCACACTCCCTCACCCCTTGCGTGCCCACGCCGCTCGCCTCCTCCTCACTCCCATGCGCCGCCAGTCCCGTGCGCCGCCACTCCCATGCGCCCCCACTCCCGTGCGCCGCCACTCCTATGCGCCCCCACTCCCGTGCGCCGCCACTCCCATGCGCCCCCACTCCCGTGCGCCGCCACTCCCATGCGCCGCCACTCCCGTGCGCCGCCACTCCCATGCGCCGCCACTCCCATGCGCCGCCACTCCCGTGCGCCGCCACTCCAGTGCGCCGCCACTCCAGTGCGCCGCCACTCCCGTGCGCCGCCACTCCCGTGCGCCGCCACTCCAGTGCGCCGCCACTCCCGTGCGCCGCCACTCCAGTGCGCCGTCACTCCCGTGCTTCCTGCCCCTCAGAACAGTCCGCAGTCGTCTCCGCTCCTCGCTATCCCTTCTCCCCTCTTTTCCTGCGTCGAACCCATAACCCCTGCTCTCTCCATCTCCTCTACCCCCCTTCCCTGCCTCCCTTCCCCTCCCCGACTCTCAGACGTGCTGACTGCCATCGCGCTCCTCTCCTCCCGCTCCTCGCTACCCCCTCTCCCCACCCTTCCTGCATCATGCCCGTAACCGCTGCTTTCCCCTTCCCCTCCCCGAGTTTTGAGGCGCCTCAAAAGCTTTCCCCTTCCCCTCCCTGAGTCTCAGACATGCTGACTGCCATCAAGCTCCTCTCTTCCCCCCATCCCCCTCTCTCCTCCCCCCATCCCCCCCTCTCTTCCCCTCCTCCCCCCCTCTCTTCCTCTCATCTCCCTCTCCCTTCCCTCCTTCCCCCCGCCCAACCCTGTCTGTCGCGCCCCTCTGGCAGGCGTGGGTGCCCCCCTTGGCGGCGCAGCAGTGGGGGCAGACGACCACCGCTGGCATCGTTGCCGGCATGATGCTGGGGGCCAGCCGCGAGGCCGCTCGCACCCAGGTGAGGCGAGGCGCACCCAGGTGAGGCGCACTCCACGTGCTGATTGCACATAAGCCGCACTGCTCGTCGCACCCAGGTGAGCCGCGTGCTACCTGGCACGCCTGGCCCAGGCTGGGATCTAGCAGCTAGGGCACTTCTGAAGTGGGTCGAGAGGTGGACACAGTTGGTGCTTGGGTTACTGGAGTGCAGAGCTGAGGTGAGATGCGGTGCTGTGAGGTAAGAAACAGTTGGGCAGAGCATGTGGGTGGGAGCGACGCATTGCATTGGCAGGTTGGGCGCTTAAAAACGAGTGGAGGGCGTTGGCTGCAGGGCACTTTTGGTCGTCACGCTTGTTCCTCTCTTTCCACTCCCCATCACCTGAGTGGGGCGGCAGCTGATAGGGGCGGCAGCTGAGAGGGGTGGCAGTTGAGAGGGGCGGCAGCTGAGAGGGGTGGCAGTTGAGAGGGGCGGCAGCTGAGAGGGGTGGCAGTTGAGAGGGGCGGCAGCTGAGAGGGGCGGCAGGTGAGAGGGGTGGCAGTTGAGAGGGGCGGCAGCTGAGAGGGGCGGCAGGTGAGAGGGGCGGCAGGTGAGAGGGGCGGCAGCTGAGAGGGGCGGCAGCTGAGAGGGGCGGCAGGTGAGAGGGGCGGCAGCTGAGAGGGGCGGCAGTTGGCGGCAGGTGAGAGGGGCGGCAGGTGAGAGGGGCGGCAGGTGAGAGGGGCGGCAGGTGAGAGGGGCGGCAGGTGAGAGGGGCGGCAGGTGAGAGGGGCGGCAGGTGAGAGGGGCGGCAGGTGAGAGGGGCGGCAGCTGAGAGGGGCGGCAGCTGAGAGGGGCGGCAGGTGAGAGGGGCGGCAGGTGAGAGGGGCGGCAGGTGAGAGGGGCGGCAGGTGAGAGGGGCGGCAGGTGAGAGGGGCGGCAGGTGAGAGGGGCGGCAGGTGAGAGGGGCGGCAGCTGAGAGGGGCGGCAGTTGAGAGGGGCGGCAGGTGAGAGGGGCGGCAGCTGAGAGGGGCGGCAGTTGAGAGGGGCGGCAGGTGAGAGGGGCGGCAGGTGAGAGGGGCGGCAGGTGAGAGGGGCGGCAGGTGAGAGGGGCGGCAGGTGAGAGGGGCGGCAGGTGAGAGGGGCGGCAGGTGAGAGGGGCGGCAGGTGAGAGGGGCGGCAGGTGAGAGGGGCGGCAGGTGAGAGGGGCGGCAGGTGAGAGGGGCGGCAGGTGAGAGGGGCGGCAGGTGAGAGGGGCGGCAGGTGAGAGGGGCGGCAGGTGAGAGGGGCGGCAGGTGAGAGGGGCGGCAGGTGAGAGGGGCGGCAGGTGAGAGGGGCGGCAGGTGAGAGGGGCGGCAGGTGAGAGGGGCGGCAGGTGAGAGGGGCGGCAGGTGAGAGGGGCGGCAGGTGAGAGGGGCGGCAGGTGAGAGGGGCGGCAGGTGAGAGGGGCGGCAGGTGAGAGGGGCGGCAGGTGAGAGGGGCGGCAGGTGAGAGGGGCGGCAGGTGAGAGGGGCGGCAGGTGAGAGGGGCGGCAGGTGAGAGGGGCGGCAGGTGAGAGGGGCGGCAGGTGAGAGGGGCGGCAGGTGAGAGGGGCGGCAGGTGAGAGGGGCGGCAGGTGAGAGGGGCGGCAGGTGAGAGGGGCGGCAGGTGAGAGGGGCGGCAGGTGAGAGGGGCGGCAGGTGAGAGGGGCGGCAGGTGAGAGGGGCGGCAGGTGAGAGGGGCGGCAGGTGAGAGGGGCGGCAGGTGAGAGGGGCGGCAGGTGAGAGGGGCGGCAGGTGAGAGGGGCGGCAGGTGAGAGGGGCGGCAGGTGAGAGGGGCGGCAGGTGAGAGGGGCGGCAGGTGAGAGGGGCGGCAGGTGAGAGGGGCGGCAGGTGAGAGGGGCGGCAGGTGAGAGGGGCGGCAGCTGAGAGGGGCGGCAGCTGAGAGGGGCGGCAGCTGAGAGGGGCGGCAGCTGAGAGGGGCGGCAGCTGAGAGGGGCGGCAGCTGAGAGGGGCGGCAGCTGAGAGGGGCGGCAGGTGAGAGGGGCGGCAGCTGAGAGGGGCGGCAGCTGAGAGGGGCGGCAGCTGAGAGGGGCGGCAGCTGAGAGGGGCGGCAGCTGAGAGGGGCGGCAGGTGAGGGGCGGCAGGTGAGAGGGGCGGCAGGTGAGAGGGGCGGCAGGTGAGAGGGGCGGCAGGTGAGAGGGGCGGCAGGTGAGAGGGGCGGCAGGTGAGAGGGGCGGCAGGTGAGAGGGGCGGCAGCTGAGAGGGGCGGCAGGTGAGAGGGGCGGCAGCTGAGAGGGGCGGCAGCTGAGAGGGGCGGCAGCTGAGAGGGGCGGCAGGTGAGAGGGGCGGCAGGTGAGAGGGGCGGCAGGTGAGAGGGGCGGCAGGTGAGAGGGGCGGCAGGTGAGAGGGGCGGCAGGTGAGAGGGGCGGCAGGTGAGAGGGGCGGCAGGTGAGAGGGGCGGCAGGTGAGAGGGGCGGCAGGTGAGAGGGGCGGCAGGTGAGAGGGGCGGCAGGTGAGAGGGGCGGCAGGTGAGAGGGGCGGCAGGTGAGAGGGGCGGCAGGTGAGAGGGGCGGCAGCTGAGAGGGGCGGCAGTTGAGAGGGGCGGCAGGTGAGAGGGGCGGCAGGTGAGAGGGGCGGCAGGTGAGAGGGGCGGCAGCTGAGAGGGGCGGCAGGTGAGAGGGGCGGCAGGTGAGAGGGGCGGCAGGTGAGAGGGGCGGCAGGTGAGAGGGGCGGCAGGTGAGAGGGGCGGCAGGTGAGAGGGGCGGCAGGTGAGAGGGGCGGCAGGTGAGAGGGGCGGCAGGTGAGAGGGGCGGCAGGTGAGAGGGGCGGCAGGTGAGAGGGGCGGCAGGTGAGAGGGGCGGCAGGTGAGAGGGGCGGCAGCTGAGAGGGGGGGCAGCTGAGAGGGGCGGCAGGTGAGAGGGGCGGCAGGTGAGAGGGGCGGCAGGTGAGAGGGGCGGCAGGTGAGAGGGGCGGCAGGTGAGAGGGGCGGCAGGTGAGAGGGGCGGCAGGTGAGAGGGGCGGCAGGTGAGAGGGGCGGCAGGTGAGAGGGGCGGCAGGTGAGAGGGGCGGCAGGTGAGAGGGGCGGCAGGTGAGAGGGGCGGCAGGTGAGAGGGGCGGCAGGTGAGAGGGGCGGCAGGTGAGAGGGGCGGCAGGTGAGAGGGGCGGCAGCTGAGAGGGGCGGCAGCTGAGAGGGGCGGCAGCTGAGAGGGGCGGCAGGTGAGAGGGGCGGCAGGTGAGAGGGGCGGCAGGTGAGAGGGGCGGCAGGTGAGAGGGGCGGCAGGTGAGAGGGGCGGCAGGTGAGAGGGGCGGCAGGTGAGAGGGGCGGCAGCTGAGAGGGGCGGCAGTTGAGAGGGGCGGCAGGTGAGAGGGGCGGCAGGTGAGAGGGGCGGCAGCTGAGAGGGGCAGCAGTTGAGAGGGGCGGCAGTTGAGAGGGGCGGCAGGTGAGAGGGGCGGCAGGTGAGAGGGGCGGCAGGTGAGAGGGGCGGCAGGTGAGAGGGGCGGCAGGTGAGAGGGGCGGCAGGTGAGAGGGGCGGCAGGTGAGAGGGGCGGCAGGTGAGAGGGGCGGCAGCTGAGAGGGGCGGCAGCTGAGAGGGGCGGCAGGTGAGAGGGGCGGCAGGTGAGAGGGGCGGCAGGTGAGAGGGGCGGCAGGTGAGAGGGGCGGCAGGTGAGAGGGGCGCAGGTGAGAGGGGCGGCAGGTGAGAGGGGCGGCAGGTGAGAGGGGCGGCAGGTGAGAGGGGCGGCAGGTGAGAGGGGCGGCAGGTGAGAGGGGCGGCAGGTGAGAGGGGCGGCAGGTGAGAGGGGCGGCAGGTGAGAGGGGCGGCAGGTGAGAGGGGCGGCAGGTGAGAGGGGCGGCAGGTGAGAGGGGCGGCAGGTGAGAGGGGCGGCAGGTGAGAGGGGCGGCAGGTGAGAGGGGCGGCAGGTGAGAGGGGCGGCAGGTGAGAGGGGCGGCAGGTGAGAGGGGCGGCAGGTGAGAGGGGCGGCAGGTGAGAGGGGCGGCAGGTGAGAGGGGCGGCAGGTGAGAGGGGCGGCAGGTGAGAGGGGCGGCAGGTGAGAGGGGCGGCAGGTGAGAGGGGCGGCAGGTGAGAGGGGCGGCAGGTGAGAGGGGCGGCAGGTGAGAGGGGCGGCAGGTGAGAGGGGCGGCAGGTGAGAGGGGCGGCAGGTGAGAGGGGCGGCAGGTGAGAGGGGCGGCAGGTGAGAGGGGCGGCAGGTGAGAGGGGCGGCAGGTGAGAGGGGCGGCAGGTGAGAGGGGCGGCAGGTGAGAGGGGCGGCAGGTGAGAGGGGCGGCAGGTGAGAGGGGCGGCAGGTGAGAGGGGCGGCAGGTGAGAGGGGCGGCAGGTGAGAGGGGCGGCAGGTGAGAGGGGCGGCAGCTGAGAGGGGCGGCAGCTGAGAGGGGCGGCAGCTGAGAGGGGCGGCAGGTGAGAGGGGCGGCAGGTGAGAGGGGCGGCAGGTGAGAGGGGCGGCAGCTGAGAGGGGCGGCAGCTGAGAGGGGCGGCAGGTGAGAGGGGCGGCAGGTGAGAGGGGCGGCAGGTGAGAGGGGCGGCAGGTGAGAGGGGCGGCAGGTGAGAGGGGCGGCAGGTGAGAGGGGCGGCAGGTGAGAGGGGGCGGCAGGTGAGAGGGGCGGCAGGTGAGAGGGGCGGCAGGTGAGAGGGGCGGCAGGTGAGAGGGGCGGCAGGTGAGAGGGGCGGCAGGTGAGAGGGGCGGCAGGTGAGAGGGGCGGCAGGTGAGAGGGGCGGCAGGTGAGAGGGGCGGCAGGTGAGAGGGGCGGCAGGTGAGAGGGGCGGCAGGTGAGAGGGGCGGCAGGTGAGAGGGGCGGCAGGTGAGAGGGGCGGCAGGTGAGAGGGGCGGCAGGTGAGAGGGGCGGCAGCTGAGAGGGGCGGCAGCTGAGAGGGGCGGCAGCTGAGAGGGGCGGCAGCTGAGAGGGGCGGCAGCTGAGAGGGGCGGCAGCTGAGAGGGGCGGCAGCTGAGAGGGGCGGCAGGTGAGAGGGGCGGCAGGTGAGAGGGGCGGCAGGTGAGAGGGGCGGCAGGTGAGAGGGGCGGCAGCTGAGAGGGGCGGCAGGTGAGAGGGGCGGCAGCTGAGAGGGGCGGCAGGTGAGAGGGGCGGCAGGTGAGAGGGGCGGCAGGTGAGAGGGGCGGCAGCTGAGAGGGGCGGCAGCTGAGAGGGGCGGCAGCTGAGAGGGGCGGCAGCTGAGAGGGGCGGCAGGTGAGAGGGGCGGCAGGTGAGAGGGGCGGCAGGTGAGAGGGGCGGCAGGTGAGAGGGGCGGCAGGTGAGAGGGGCGGCAGGTGAGAGGGGCGGCAGGTGAGGGGCGGCAGGTGAGAGGGGCGGCAGGTGAGAGGGGCGGCAGGTGAGAGGGGCGGCAGGTGAGAGGGGCGGCAGGTGAGAGGGGCGGCAGGTGAGAGGGGCGGCAGGTGAGAGGGGCGGCAGGTGAGAGGGGCGGCAGGTGAGAGGGGCGGCAGCTGAGAGGGGCGGCAGCTGAGAGGGGCGGCAGGTGAGAGGGGCGGCAGCTGAGAGGGGCGGCAGCTGAGAGGGGCGGCAGTTGAGAGGGGCGGCAGGTGAGAGGGGCGGCAGGTGAGAGGGGCGGCAGGTGAGAGGGGCGGCAGGTGAGAGGGGCGGCAGGTGAGAGGGGCGGCAGGTGAGAGGGGCGGCAGGTGAGAGGGGCGGCAGCTGAGAGGGGCGGCAGCCGAGAGGGGCGGCAGGGGGAGAGGGGCGGCAGGTGAGAGGGGCGGCAGGTGAGAGGGGCGGCAGGTGAGAGGGGCGGCAGGTGAGAGGGGCGGCAGGTGAGAGGGGCGGCAGGTGAGAGGGGCGGCAGGTGAGAGGGGCGGCAGGTGAGAGGGGCGGCAGGTGAGAGGGGCGGCAGGTGAGAGGGGCGGCAGGTGAGAGGGGCGGCAGGTGAGAGGGGCGGCAGGTGAGAGGGGCGGCAGCTGAGAGGGGCGGCAGCTGAGAGGGGGGGCAGCTGAGAGGGGCGGCAGCTGAGAGGGGCGGCAGCTGAGAGGGGCGGCAGGTGAGAGGGGCGGCAGGTGAGAGGGGCGGCAGGTGAGAGGGGGCAGGGAGAGGGGCGGCAGGTGAGAGGGGCGGCAGGTGAGAGGGGCGGCAGGTGAGAGGGGCGGCAGGTGAGAGGGGCGGCAGGTGAGAGGGGCGGCAGGTGAGAGGGGCGGCAGGTGAGAGGGGCGGCAGGTGAGAGGGGCGGCAGGTGAGAGGGGCGGCAGGTGAGAGGGGCGGCAGGTGAGAGGGGCGGCAGGTGAGAGGGGCGGCAGGTGAGAGGGGCGGCAGGTGAGAGGGGCGGCAGGTGAGAGGGGCGGCAGGTGAGAGGGGCGGCAGGTGAGAGGGGCGGCAGGTGAGAGGGGCGGCAGGTGAGAGGGGCGGCAGGTGAGAGGGGCGGCAGGTGAGAGGGGCGGCAGGTGAGAGGGGCGGCAGGTGAGAGGGGCGGCAGGTGAGAGGGGCGGCAGGTGAGAGGGGCGGCAGGTGAGAGGGGCGGCAGGTGAGAGGGGCGGCAGGTGAGAGGGGCGGCAGGTGAGAGGGGCGGCAGGTGAGAGGGGCGGCAGGTGAGAGGGGCGGCAGGTGAGAGGGGCGGCAGGTGAGAGGGGCGGCAGGTGAGAGGGGCGGCAGGTGAGAGGGGCGGCAGGTGAGAGGGGCGGCAGGTGAGAGGGGCGGCAGGTGAGAGGGGCGGCAGGTGAGAGGGGCGGCAGGTGAGAGGGGCGGCAGGTGAGAGGGGCGGCAGGTGAGAGGGGCGGCAGGTGAGAGGGGCGGCAGGTGAGAGGGGCGGCAGGTGAGAGGGGCGGCAGGTGAGAGGGGCGGCAGGTGAGAGGGGCGGCAGCTGAGAGGGGCGGCAGCTGAGAGGGGGGGCAGCTGAGAGGGGCGGCAGCTGAGAGGGGCGGCAGCTGAGAGGGGCGGCAGGTGAGAGGGGCGGCAGGTGAGAGGGGCGGCAGCTGAGAGGGGCGGCAGCTGAGAGGGGCGGCAGGTGAGAGGGGCGGCAGGTGAGAGGGGCGGCAGGTGAGAGGGGCGGCAGGTGAGAGGGGCGGCAGGTGAGAGGGGCGGCAGGTGAGAGGGGCGGCAGGTGAGAGGGGCGGCAGGTGAGAGGGGCGGCAGGTGAGAGGGGCGGCAGGTGAGAGGGGCGGCAGGTGAGAGGGGCGGCAGGTGAGAGGGGCGGCAGGTGAGAGGGGCGGCAGGTGAGAGGGGCGGCAGGTGAGAGGGGCGGCAGGTGAGAGGGGCGGCAGGTGAGAGGGGCGGCAGGTGAGAGGGGCGGCAGGTGAGAGGGGCGGCAGGTGAGAGGGGCGGCAGGTGAGAGGGGCGGCAGGTGAGAGGGGCGGCAGGTGAGAGGGGCGGCAGCTGAGAGGGGCGGCAGCTGAGAGGGGCGGCAGCTGAGAGGGGCGGCAGCTGAGAGGGGCGGCAGCTGAGAGGGGCGGCAGCTGAGAGGGGCGGCAGCTGAGAGGGGCGGCAGGTGAGAGGGGCGGCAGGTGAGAGGGGCGGCAGGTGAGAGGGGCGGCAGGTGAGAGGGGCGGCAGCTGAGAGGGGCGGCAGGTGAGAGGGGCGGCAGCTGAGAGGGGCGGCAGGTGAGAGGGGCGGCAGGTGAGAGGGGCGGCAGGTGAGAGGGGCGGCAGCTGAGAGGGGCGGCAGCTGAGAGGGGCGGCAGCTGAGAGGGGCGGCAGCTGAGAGGGGCGGCAGGTGAGAGGGGCGGCAGGTGAGAGGGGCGGCAGGTGAGAGGGGCGGCAGGTGAGAGGGGCGGCAGGTGAGAGGGGCGGCAGGTGAGAGGGGCGGCAGGTGAGGGGCGGCAGGTGAGAGGGGCGGCAGGTGAGAGGGGCGGCAGGTGAGAGGGGCGGCAGGTGAGAGGGGCGGCAGGTGAGAGGGGCGGCAGGTGAGAGGGGCGGCAGGTGAGAGGGGCGGCAGGTGAGAGGGGCGGCAGGTGAGAGGGGCGGCAGCTGAGAGGGGCGGCAGCTGAGAGGGGCGGCAGGTGAGAGGGGCGGCAGCTGAGAGGGGCGGCAGCTGAGAGGGGCGGCAGTTGAGAGGGGCGGCAGGTGAGAGGGGCGGCAGGTGAGAGGGGCGGCAGGTGAGAGGGGCGGCAGGTGAGAGGGGCGGCAGGTGAGAGGGGCGGCAGGTGAGAGGGCGCAGGTGAGAGGGGCGGCAGGTGAGAGGGGCGGCAGCTGAGAGGGGCGGCAGCCGAGAGGGGCGGCAGGGGAGAGGGGCGGCAGGTGAGAGGGGCGGCAGGTGAGAGGGGCGGCAGGTGAGAGGGGCGGCAGGTGAGAGGGGCGGCAGGTGAGAGGGGCGGCAGGTGAGAGGGGCGGCAGGTGAGAGGGGCGGCAGGTGAGAGGGGCGGCAGGTGAGAGGGGCGGCAGGTGAGAGGGGCGGCAGGTGAGAGGGGCGGCAGGTGAGAGGGGCGGCAGGTGAGAGGGGCGGCAGCTGAGAGGGGCGGCAGCTGAGAGGGGGGCAGCTGAGAGGGGGGCAGCTGAGAGGGGCGGCAGCTGAGAGGGGCGGCAGGTGAGAGGGGCGGCAGGTGAGAGGGGCGGCAGGTGAGAGGGGCGGCAGGTGAGAGGGGCGGCAGGTGAGAGGGGCGGCAGGTGAGAGGGGCGGCAGGTGAGAGGGGCGGCAGGTGAGAGGGGCGGCAGGTGAGAGGGGCGGCAGGTGAGAGGGGCGGCAGGTGAGAGGGGCGGCAGGTGAGAGGGGCGGCAGGTGAGAGGGGCGGCAGGTGAGAGGGGCGGCAGGTGAGAGGGGCGGCAGGTGAGAGGGGCGGCAGGTGAGAGGGGCGGCAGGTGAGAGGGGCGGCAGGTGAGAGGGGCGGCAGGTGAGAGGGGCGGCAGGTGAGAGGGGCGGCAGGTGAGAGGGGCGGCAGGTGAGAGGGGCGGCAGGTGAGAGGGGCGGCAGGTGAGAGGGGCGGCAGGTGAGAGGGGCGGCAGGTGAGAGGGGCGGCAGGTGAGAGGGGCGGCAGGTGAGAGGGGCGGCAGGTGAGAGGGGCGGCAGGTGAGAGGGGCGGCAGGTGAGAGGGGCGGCAGGTGAGAGGGGCGGCAGGTGAGAGGGGCGGCAGGTGAGAGGGGCGGCAGGTGAGAGGGGCGGCAGGTGAGAGGGGCGGCAGGTGAGAGGGGCGGCAGGTGAGAGGGGCGGCAGGTGAGAGGGGCGGCAGGTGAGAGGGGCGGCAGGTGAGAGGGGCGGCAGGTGAGAGGGGCGGCAGGTGAGAGGGGCGGCAGGTGAGAGGGGCGGCAGGTGAGAGGGGCGGCAGGTGAGAGGGGCGGCAGGTGAGAGGGGCGGCAGGTGAGAGGGGCGGCAGGTGAGAGGGGCGGCAGGTGAATTGCCACTTCCTCCCTTCACCTTTCCTTTCCTTCCCAATGCCCTCCAGGCCTCATCTCCGTTTTCGATGCACCATGCACCACCGCCCTCCACCACAGCAGCAGCGCCCGGCACCAACCTTCACACCCCCCATCACGCCCCTCCACACGCCTCCCCCTCGTCGTCGCGCTGCACGGCGGCTTGCCTGGCGGCGGAGCGGCGGCTGGCGAGGGTGGTGAGGGCGTCGGTGGCGGGTGGTGCGCAGCTGGGCGCGCTGGCAGGCTGTTTCTGTGATTTTCATGTGACACTGCTTCCCATCGCCTTTCCGTCCCATTCCCAATACCCTCCAGGCCTCCTCTCCGTTTTCAAGTCACCACAGCCACCATCAGCAGCAGCATACAGCACCTCCCTCCACCACAGCAGCAGCGCCTCACGCCCCCCTAGACGCCTCCCCTCACTCCCCTCCACACGCCTCCCCTTCGTCGCGCTATGCTACAGCCCGCCTGGCGGCGGAGCGGCGGCTGGTGAGGGTGGTGAGGGCGTCGGTGGCGGGCGGCGCACAGCTGGGCGCGCTGGCAGGCTGTTTCTGTGACTTTCATGTGACACTGCCTCCCGTCACCTTTCCGTCCCATTCCCAATACCCTCCAGGCCTCCTCTCCGTTTTCGATGCAACATAGCCACCATCAGCAGCACACAGCAGCACCCTCCACCGCAGCAGCAGCCCCCCACGCCCCTCACGCCCCTCCACACTCCTCCCCCTCATCACGCTATGCTACTGTTCGCCTGGCAGCGGAGCGGCGGCTGGTGAGGGTGGTGAGGGCGTCGGTGGCAGGCGGCGCACAGCTGGGCGCGCTGGCAGGCGTCTTCTCCGCCTCGCAGCTGGGCCTGCGCGCTCTCATGCTGGAGTGGAGAGAGGAGGGGGTGGCACAGAGGAGGCGCACACAGGAGGGCGGTGGCAGCAGTAGCAGTAGCAGTAGCAGAAGTGGGGAAGAGGGGGTTGGGGGCGTGGGGAGGGGCAGCAGCAGGGGGTGGCAGGGGGAGGAGTTGTGTGAGCCTGACGTGGTCAGCACTGTTGGCGCTGGTGCCTTCACTGCTGGGCTTGTGGGATTAGTCGGTGAGTGGATCCTGATAGGTACGTGATAGGGACTTCTCAAAGCAGCAGGGGGTGGCAGGGGGAGGAGCTGTGTGAGCCTGACGTGGCAAGCACTGTTGGCGCTGGTGCCATCACTGCTGGTCTTGTGGGACTAATTGGTGAGTCAATTACGATAGTTCTCCATGCGAGCTGACTTTTGAGTCGACTCAAAAAGCACTGTTGGCGCTGGTGCCGTGACAGCTGGGCTTGTGGGGCTAGTTGGTGAGTCAATCACGATAGGTACGTGATAAAAGTGTTGTTTTGAGACGTCTCAAAGTAGCAAGGGGTGGCAAGGGGAGGAGTTGTGTGAGCCTGACGTAGCAAGCACTGTTGGCGCTGGTGCCGTGACAGCTGGGCTTGTGGGATTGGTTGGTGAGTCAATGAAGATAGTTCTCCCTGCCTTGTTGCTTCACCCCCCCCCCCCCCCCCCACTCCCATCACATCCCCACCCACACTCACTGACATTGTCAGCCTCACTATCTCACTATATCTCACTAGATCTCACTATATCTCACTATATCTCACTATCCTTTATAAGGGCTTGGCTTGGATCGGGATGACGTGTAAAGCATGGGAGCCGAAGCGTCAGCAGTGGATGCGAGAAAGGCTGGTAGAGTGAAGGGAGGCGGCAGCAACCTTGGATCAGTAAAGGGTTGAATCAGTCCTTCCGTGGCGTCCGCAGTGGTGCGTGGAAGCAGAGGAGGGTGAGTGGCAGTGGTGCGTGGGAGCAGAGGAGGGTGAGTGGCAGTGGTGCGTGGGAGCAGAGGAGGGTGAGCGGCAGTGGTGCGTACGAATGTGATACGATTCTCTACCTGAGGGTATTTTCCAACTTAGCTATGGAGGCCATCAGCAGAGCAGGTGTGGCTGAAGTGGTGGGTGTGGCCATCACCACATGGATGGTACCATCCATGTTCTGCCACCACGTGGGTGTGGAGGCCATCAGCAGAGCAGGTGTGGCTGAAGTGGTGGGTTGTACCATCCATATGGTGCCACCACGTGGGTGTGGGTAGACAAGCCAGCAGCTGTTGGCAGTGCTGGATCCATGTCTCTGCGGTCCAGCACTGCCAACAGCTGCTAGCTCAGGTGGCTCGAGGCATGAGTCTGTCTGGGTTGGAGGCAGCGCTTGAGTGGTGGGGAGAGGCGAGATTGTCAGCAGGTAGCAGAGAGGAGGACTCTGTTGTTGGGATGGGAGCAAAGGTGGCAGACGTGAGGAATGAGGTATGGCGTGCAGCGAGGGTGGCGGGCTGGCACCGGGGTGCAACGGCGTGTGAATGAAACGAGGCCTAAGGAAAACTCAGATGGTTGTGAGTCGTGAACACAGAGGGTTGAAGAAGAGTGGACGAATTTAAATCACAAGGAGATGAATCTTTCTGTCCGTCATAATGTGAGGAAGATGTTATAAGGAGAGGAACGGGAGGCAGCAAGAAGTGGGTTGGATCAGTCCGACCTCGAAGGCGGCCACAGGAGTCCCACCAAATTGACTTTTGAGTTGACTCAAAAGTCAGACCGACCTAGAAGGGAGTCACAGGAGTCCCACCAACCAACATGCTGCTGTGATCTTGCTCAAATGGCGTTGGAACACACTTGCACCAACTTTGCACTTTAAATTGCACGATCTCCACACTTGCTGGCTCCTGCTGTCTTTCTCTTCCTACCGCCGCTCACTTATCTTGTACTGCTGTACTTCGTACTGTGAAGCTTTCCTCAATTCCCACCACCCTCACCTCCCATCACATCCTCCCTGCCTCTCCCCCCCAGCCACCCGTGCCTCGCCGGCCCATCGCTTCAAGGCGGGTGCTCTCCACACCGTGGCCGGTGCTGCCCTCGCTTTCCCCCTGGGTGAGTCGCACCTCTTGAGGTGGTTCCTTAGGCGCCTCAACAGCATTGAGGTGGTTTCTGAGGTGGTTTTTGAGGCGCATAAAAAAACCGCCTCGCCGGCCCATCGCCTCAAGGCGGCAGCTCTGCACACCGTCGCCGGTGCTGCCCTCGCTTCCCCCCTGGGTGAGTCGCACACACCCCTTGAGGTGGTTATTGAGGCACCTCAAAAACCGCCTCATCTCCCATCGCCACAGGGCGGCAGCTCTCCACACCGTGGCTGGTGCCGCCCTCGCCCTCCCACTGGGTGAGCGGCACACACCACTTGAGGTGGTATTTGAGGCGCCTCAACAGCATTGCGATGGTATTTAAGGCGCCTCGAAAACCTCCTCATGTGCCATCGCCTCAAGGGGGCTGCCCTCCCACTGGGTGAGCCGCACCACTCGCACTCACTAGGGGCGTTCTGCCATGCCGCCATGCCCACTCGCACTCACTAGGGGCGTTCCGCCGTGCTGCCATGCCCACTCGCACTCACTGGGGCTCTATGCTGCTCCCTCTCTGTGCATGCCACCTGTTGCCACCCTCCGTCAAGCCTTGTGCACTGCCTTTGCCTGAGCCACACCTTTTTTCTCGACCCGATTTATACACCAGCTTGTACCTTGCCAAAGCTGCTGTCACATGCCAAAGCTGCTCCCATGTGCCAAACCTGCTCTCACATGCCAAACCTGCTCTCACATGCCAAACCTGCTCTCACATGCCAAACCTGCTCTCACATGTTAGAACTTAGGCTTAGAAGCGATACATTAGTAATGAGCTTGAAGCTCTTTAAGTACATCCAAGAAGGGGAGGGAATGGATGGGGAAGGGAATCGGGGGCAATCCCTAGGGATTGGGGGTAATTCCAAGGCAATCTCCAATTGGTGGGTTGGAGATTGCTTGGAGATTACATTTGGGTTTGGTTGGGATATAGGTGTACACCCAACCAAACACAATGTGCAAACTACACTACTCTAGGATATAGAAAATACTAAGTGCAAAGTGTGAGATTGAATTGAAGGCTAACACTAACATCACATGCCAAACCTGCTCCCATATGCCAAACCTGCTCTAGCGTGTGCTCGCTCTCGCCTGCTCTCACTTGTCTGTGTGCAATTCACATGCTCGCTCTTGCTTCGCTGCAATACAATTGTCTTTTTTCTTCTTGTCTCCCCTTCCCGTCACCTCCCACTCCCCAACCCACTCCCTCTAACCCCTCTCTCTCTCTGTGCCCCACCGGCAGCCCTCCTGCACTCAGCGCTCTACTCCTTGCTGCCCCAGCACCACAGCACAGCAGCAGCACACGACTTTTGAGACGTCTCAACAACCCGCTCCCCCTGCCCCTTCCCTCTCTCTCCGTGCCCCACCTGCAGCCCTCCTGCACTCGGCGCTCTACTCCTTGCTGCCCCAGCATCACAGCACAGCAGCAGCACACGGCAGCAGTGGAGAGGGAGAGGGCGCTCAGGGGATTCCTCAGGAGAGATCTCAGGTGGACTCTCAGGTGGGCAGTGGCAGTAGCAGCAGTCCTCTCAGCGGCGGCGGCAGCGGCGGCGGTGTGGCGGGAGCCATTGAGCGCATGGAGGAACGATTCATGGGGTCTTTTGGGCACCTGGGGGGCAACCACGGAGGAGGGGGAGGAGGCGGGGTTGTGGGTAGAGAGGGTGAGGGCGGAGGAGAGGCGAGAGGGGAAGCTTCGGAGGGTGAGGCGGGAGGGCAGGAGTCATGCACGGTAGTGGCAGGGGAGAGCATGGGGAGCAGATGAGGGCACGGGGAGCAGTGGGGAGCAGTGGTGATCAGCAAATCTAATTACAAGTCTGAATGGTGTTTGAAGTCATGTGCAGCAGCAGCAGCAGCAGCAGCAGCAGCAGCAGCAGCAGCAGCGGTGGCGTGGCGGGTGCCATTGAGCGAATGGAAGAGCGATTCATGGGGTCGTTTGGTCAGATTGGGAGCAACCGCGGAGGAGGGAAGGAAGGCAAAGGGGGGGTGCCCAGGGAGGGTGAGAAGGACGGAGATGGAGAGATGAGACAGGAAAATCTAGACGGGGTGACAGGTGAAGCGGCAGAATCTACTCGAGGAAGAAGCGGCCGGCAGGTGATGTGTAGGGAGCAGCGGCGAGGGATGGAAACGAGTATACAGGTTTGAATAAATACGATTATGTGTTTTTAGATTATTGTATTCCACCAGGTATAGGCCCCTCCACTTTGGAGAAACAATGCAGTGTTACCTTTTTTGCTATCATGCAAAACATACCTGCACGGAAACAAGCCCTGGCTAGCCAATTTGTGGCCGAAGTGATCAATCATGCGATCCTATGATGACCTTTCTGAAAGTTGCACATCAAACACTTTCTTACAAGTGTATATCCATTTTGCAGATGCTACGGAGGCTGCTATTCTGGGATGGGTACCATATTCTAATGTTCATAGATCGCTGATCTTCATACATCCAGTATATTTTTTTTATGATACCCGATTTATCAATTTAGTATCACATCAGCGATGGATATTTTCTTTTCCCACTTTCAATGCCAACAAACAAACCTCTTCCTCGCCACATAATGGCAGGTTCCTTTCACCACATAATACGTCATAAGATATTAGCCAATACTCAGTTCGCCAACGATTCGCTTTAGCGAGGTGGCAATTATCCTCGTTGCCCGAGACAACTGGTGCTCCTGAACTGCTGTTGCTGCACGCCTGCGTCTCCCAACATAATCGTTCTGCAATCCTAGGTTCTGCAAATCGTCCTGTGCAAATTCGTGCTGCTTGCTAGCCCAGAGAGCGGCGCAGAACCGACCAGGGGCCACATGAGTGGGGCTGTCAGCTGAACGTTCGACTTGCTGCTGTGATTACCTCCTCCCTAGTGCACGCGTCACGTAACTATGCACCCCTCACCCGTTTGGAGCGCGTAGCTGGGGAGCTCGACTGATGAGGGCCGCAGTGGTCGCGCGCAGCACGGCCCATGTCGTTCCTGTCACGGAAGTCGCGCCCATCACTCCCAGCCTTTACCGCGCTCAATCGCCGCGTCGAGGGTGTAGCGCGGTTGTTCGTTTCTCCCGCGCAACAGCGAGCCGCCATTGTCACTCCCACGGAACTCGCACCGATCACTCTCTCTCATCCTCACCCGCGTTCAATCGCCGTGTCGAGGGTGTAGCGCGGTTGTTCGTTTCTCCCACACTACAGCGACTTTTGAGGTATGCTCTCCCTTGTATTGTGTTGTGCCTCAAAAACCCAGCACCACCTTGTCTGACGTGCGCAGCGCCGCAACGCGCTTGTTCCGCAACTAGGCGAGTTGGCGCAACCTAGTCTTCGCCTTGCTGAGATTCTTCCCCGTAACCGCAGATCCGAACGCCGTTGAAGGGAGCGTGCCCGAATCAAGCGATGCGGGGTGCCTCGTCTCGCACTCGTCGCCGCCTTTTCGCCTCGCTCACCCTCTTCGTGCCGATTATTCTCGTGCTCGCCACGTGTTCGCGCCTTTCCCTGCCACGTGTACACTTCTCGCTGCGCCTGGAATGGGCCGAAGGCCGCCCGTATCACGACGTTAGCACCAGCCCCCCTGGGAGCGACCTTGCGGTGCCAGGCGCGAGTCAACGGAGTCAACGGAGGGCCCTCGCTGTGAATCCGTCCGCCGCACCGCCGCCGCCGCCGCCGCCTCCCGTGTGCGAATGTCCCGCGTGCCCTGCCGGCGACAGTGGTCGCAGTGTTAGTGGGCCGGGCGGCGATGCGAGAAGCGGCGGTGGAGAGGGGACCGGTGCTGGAGGGGGAGGCGATGGTGGAGCGGAGGGGGGAGGCGAGGCGGCGTGGGGCGTTCCGAGTGCACCCGACGAGCATCAGCTTGTTTGCTGTCGTCAGCACTTACCGCACTGGCCAGGACAGGTGAGGCAAGGCACGCAACAGGTGGACGACAGGTGAGGCAAGGCACACAACAGGTGGACGACAGGTGAGGCAAGGCACACAACAGGTGGACGTAGGGATGAGCAAGGTGGCGAACACCTGTTCGGTTCGCCTCGAACAATAGGTTTTGTTTTTCAGCTTAAATCGTTCGCCCGAACGTGTTCGAGGTTCGCCCGAACGTGTTCGAGGTTCGCCCGAACACGTTCGTGTTCGTGGCGCTGCTGCAGAACGCCCCGTGGCGAACACGAACGTGTTCGAGGTTCGCCCGAACACTCCTCCACAGACGAACAGCGAACACCTGTTTTTGCCTAAACTGTTCGCCGAACCGAACAGTGTTCGGTTCGGCAAAAGAGGGTGTTCGAGAAGGGGAGAACACGAACATGTTCGTGTTCGCCCTTTGCTCATCCCTAGGTGGACGGCAGGTGAGGCAAGGCGCTGCTGTGTGTGGGACGGCAGGTGAAGCGCCTGAGCCAAGCCGGAAGGTACCAAAAGCTCGTCGCCTTGCGTGGCGCCATGCAGACGAGTCGAGCATATCTTTTTTTTTCTTAGAGTAGTTCTCAGAAAAACGGATTTAGCCATGCAGACGAGTCAAGCATCTCTCAAGCACCCCTCAACCCTCCGCGCTCGCACGGCGCGTCGCGCCATCTGTACGCCACTTCAAAGTTCCTCACCGCTCTCCTCCCTGACCACCTTCACCATCTCCTCAGCTATCCCACTAAGAGCCACAAATTTCCATTCAACCCATGTTACCCATTAGTTCTGGATTACCGAACGTTCCAAGGTGCCCTCCCTCCCACCCTCCCACCCCATCCCATCCATATTCCTGTCAAGCGTTCCACGTTCCTCTCAATGCCCTCCCATCCCATCCGGGCAGCTTCATGGTGGTGGGGTGGGTGAGTCGCCTCGCCGCTGGGCGGTCAGGTGCACTTGGAGCCATTCAAACCATCTTCACCGTTACTTGGATAATCAAAGCCTCCACGTTCCTCGCCCTCCCCTCCCTCCCATGCGTGCTGTTGCTGGGCAGCTTCATGGTGGTGGGGTGGGTGAGTCGCTGCTGGGCGCTCAGGTGCACTTCATACCAATCTGACCCGTTACGTTGAATAACCAAATGTTTTGTTCCATGTTGGCCTCCCTCCCCTCCCCTGCCTGCCTGCCTCAGCTTCATGGTGGTGGGAGAGTCGCTGCTGGGCGCTCATCTGCACTTTGCGGGCGCACTGGTGGACGAGTGCGTGTGGCAGGGCGAGGGGGAGGGGGACGGGGGAGGGAAGCAGCCCACGGTCGTTACTCCAGCAGAGACCTTGCATGTGAGTGGCACGCGTGTGGCATGACCAAGCATGTGAGTGGCATGTGAGTCGCTGCTGGGCGCTCAGCTGCACTTTGCTGGTTCGCTGGTGGACGAGGGCGTATGGCAGGGGTGGGGGAGGAGGGGGGGGGGGGGGGGGGGGGGGAGAGCAAGGGGGAAGAAGGGACCTCCAGTTGTTGCTCCTGCAGAGACCTTGCATGTTAAGTGCCAGGGGCATGCATGTGAGTAACACGGGATGTGGTTGGCATGGCACGTGAGTCGCTACTGGGCGCACAACTGCACTTGGCTGGCGCACTGGTGGACGAGTGTTTGTGGCAGGGCGAGGGGGCGGGGCAAGGGGGAGAAAAGGAGCCTCCGGTCGTTGCTCCAGCAGAGACCTTACACGTGAGTGGCATGGGTAGTGATGTGAGTGGCATGTGAGTCGCTACTGGGCGCACAACCGCACTTGGCTGGCGCACTGGTGGACGAGTGTTTGTGGCAGGGCGAGGGGAAGGGGCAAGGGGGAGACATGGGACCTTTTAGACCTTGCATGTGAGTGGCATGGGTGGCCAAGACAAGGAGGGAGGGTGATAAGTGTGTGTCGCAGACAAAAAGGTTTGTTTCTAGCAGAAAATCAGCAGACTGATTCAAGAGGTGCGACTAGGCATGAGCAGGGGGCGAACTCGAACATGTTCGTGTTCGCCCCCTGACGAACATGGCCTTCTGCCGAACCGAACAGTGTTCGGTTCGGCGAACGACTTGAGTGAAAATAGGTGTTCGCCGTTCGCCCTAGGAGGCGAACGAATTGCTGCAACAGGCGAACACGAACATGTTCGTGGCGAACATGTTCGTGTTCGCCCAGGGGGAAATTCAATATAGAGTAAAATTCAAATCGTCGCACATTCTCTCCCCCCACCTCCCAAGCCAGTCCCGCCCTGCTTCATCCATCTAGTGCCAGCGTGCAACGGCGAAATGCTAGATCCGCACTTAAGCAGCGGCGAAATGCTAGATCCGCACTTAAGCAACGGCGAAATGCTAGATCTGCACTTAAGCAACGGCGAAATGCTCGATCCGCACTTAAGCAACGGTGAAATGCTCGATCCGCACTTAAGCAACGGCGAAATGCTCGATCCGCACTTAAACAACGGCGAAATGCTCGATCCGCACTTAAGCAACGGCGAAATGCTCGATCTGCACTTAAGCAATGGCAAAATGCTAGATCTGCACTGTACTAACTGCGAAAGGCCAGATCTGAGCCCAAACACCAAGGCCCGCGACCTAAAAATTGGTCGCGGGCCTATTTGTCGACGAACACATTGGTGTTTGTCGAAGGCCCGTGTCGAACACGAACACGTTCATGTTCGACGCGCCTCGGCGAGCTGAGCCGGGCGAACGGCGAACGTGTTCGGGCGAACACCGAACACGTTCGCCCCGAACAATTTAGGCCAAAAAAAAAATCCTGTTCGGTTCGCCTCGAACACGTTCGAGGCGAACCGAACAGGAGTTCGTCATATTGCTCATCCCTAGGTGCGACAGACCTGGTAGCAGAAGGGGTGATTTGCAACATTCACGGCTAGTGGAGTGGTG